ATATATACCCTGTTGTCCTGCAGTAATGAGGGCCTACACTGTTGAGATCGGCCCACAAGTCTATGCAGGGGGAAAGGCACTCAATGTCCATGGATCCTTTATGCCTGTGCCTAGGCAAAGGAGCTGTGTCTACCCTGGGTTCCTGGCTTAGGGGAGCCAGCAGTTTATTTTTTCCCGTTTGTTAATTTGTTCACTCTCCAAGGCAGGGAGAATGGCTCCAGGTGTGTGATGGATCCTACTTCCGGCCCAGGGGACTCAGCAATTGCTAAAGCTGGTCTGGGACCCAGTGCAGAGCAGAGAGCAGGGAGGTAAACGGGAGAGAGGTTTTTCCCTAACGGGGGTGTTTTTGATCCATGCAGTAAGCTGTACGCAAGTACTTATCTTTTGCCAGTGAGGGCTGGTTCTCACTGGTCCTGGGTGGCCATGTAGACTCTCCGGCACTGGGTCTCTCCTGGTGCAGAAAACGTGCCTCCTGAGCACCGCCTCTTGCCTACCTCACCGCTCACCCATGAGCTGCTCAGGCCTGAAGGGCTCAGGTTCTTACCTGGTCAGTTCTGGCAAGTCCTCGCTGCTTCTGAACCATCTCTCCCTCCCCCTGCCACTCAGTCTGGTTCCTCAACTCTGCCTTTGATGTTCAGGGCTCCCAGATTGCCATATATAATTGGATTACTTGTTTTTTCAGGTCTTTGTTGTAAGAGGATCCACCGGAAGCATCTGACTACCCTGCCATCTTGGCCCCACCTCGCATTCTATGTTTTAGTTTATTTTCAGGTATTGCTATAAACTAACTCAACTCTAATCAGAGAGTTAAAACATAATAATTAGTATTATTTGTAAAAATGTGAGAACTAAGTAGTAGTCTGTTATACCAGCTAATCAGTCATAGAAATGAGAGATTGCTGTAGTGTATAGAAAATTAATAGGGTATTTGGAATGGGTTGAAAGGTCTTAAAAAGAATTCATGTAAGATCTACCAAATACATGTGAATCAGACTAATATCACCAAGATTTTCTATTTTCTGGGCATAAGTTAGAAAGCACAGAGTTGGTCTTAAAGATTCATCATGACACTAGTGCTCCTGCTGCTTGACCATCTGACATTGCCTCATTCTGGGCACTGATTAGAAAATTCTTCCAGGATCATTTGAATTTATTGTTTGTATCACCCCCTATTTAAGTCTCAAGAAAAGTTTTTGAATCACAAGAGACCAAGACAAAAATACTCATGAATTTTTTTCTATTTCTTGATGGTCAGATTGACTTTGACTAGCTGGAAAGTTTTCCCTCGGTTCTTCTTACAGGGTCATTTGATATGATCTGCATGATATTAAAGTATGTAAGTAAAGCATGCACTAGTCAGAGGCCGATCTGACAGAACACAAGCATACTTTCTTGAATCCCTTAAATTAAGGTAGCTCACATGTAACAGACACCAGGGCAATACAGGAAAAATAAAGAACACTTAAATCATTACACTTTCAGAAAAAAGTACCAAGACACATTAGCTCTATAATGCTCCTACAGCAACACCCTTTCTTTGCTAACTGAACTGGAAAATACTGAACTCTTGTTTGCATTATTCAATCTTATCTTAACTTCAATCAACTCACCCTATGTTCTTTATCATTAAATTTCCTCTTCTAAAATATAGTCTATATAACAGAACTTCTTAGAATAGACTTTTTTAATACAAGAATTTCTGCTCTAGAGGAGATATGCATTCCTGAAAAATCTCACTCTGTAAAATTTCACACTAAAAATAGCAAGCATATGGAAAAAATAGGCAGACAACTAAAGTCAGAGCACTCACAAAGACAATAACAATTCCAATACAATACTAGCATGATTTTAAAAATACATTGAAAATTCCTAATGAAGAAATTAGGACTTTACCTTTGAAAAAAAGATTAAATAAGTTAACAAATTAGGGTTGAGGCTGCTGAGTTCTAGAGACAAGAGGCAAGGTAAAAAAAAATCAGGCACAATAAGGACTTCTACAACAGAGCATGTAGACAAACTGAACAAAAGGAGGAACACAGGGTGAATGGTGATCATGTACAGTATAATTTTCCACTGTTGCTCATCTGTGTCACTGGCTATATTATTTGTTGTTGTTGTTTGCCATCGAGTCGATTCTGACTCATGGCAACCTATAAGACAGAGTAGAACTGCCTTATAGGGTTTCCAAGGCTGTCATCTTTACGGAAGCAGACTGCCATATCTTTCTGCCACAGAGCTACTAGTGGGTTAGAACCTTTGCCCTTTCAGTTAGCAGTCAAGAGCTTTAACTATTGCGCCACCAGGGCTCCTTTGCTGTATTACTTAGTGGCACAAATTCTCCTCATAGTGAGTTAGCTTGGTGGGATATTTTAAATTTCCTTCTGTCAATATAAATCTAGAGAAACTATGACAACTCAAAGTTTTAATATAGTTTGTTCTGTTACAACCTAGTTTCTTCAATACAAATTAGCTCTAAGTGACAGAACTATTTGTGTCATATTTTGTGCCGTATTACTTAGTGGAACAAAATGTGTTTGTTACACATGGTGACTCATGTGTTACAGAGCAGAACTGCTCCATAGCCTGGCTTATGGTTGGGCATGTGGCCTCTTGGCCAATAAACATGAAGGAAGTTGGATACGGGAACAGAAAAGGGAAAACTTCTCTCAACTTAACAAAGAGAATCTGAAGCAGTTTATGTCTTCCTCTGAATATCTTCAGGGCAAAAGCACTTTAGGTGCTTTGATGCTTCACTTATCTTTCTGAATTTTCCTTCCCTCCAGAATTTGACCCGGTATCTTTCTATCTTGGTAGATCTTTGCTAATTTAAAATGATTAAAAACATCTATTCAGTAAAAAAAAAAAAAAAAAAAAAGAAAAGAAAAATTTTTCTGTGGGAAAGCCTATCAGAATAACCTAGTCTATCCCTACCAGAAATTGAAGCCCTCTCTACATTTATTTTTTAAATAAACTAAGATTTATTTTGAGAATTTTACATATAATAATATAATATTTATAATCTTTATAACTATTTTTCTACTGCATAGCTAAACTATCTAGCTCTATGTTGTCCAATATGGTAGCTGCTAGCTAGGGTGATTATGCAAATTAGTATTTAAATGACTTAAACTTAAAATGTCCATTCTTCAGTTACAGTAGCCACATTTCAAGTGCTCAGTAGTTAATGTGGCTAGTGGTTACCAGGTTGGAAGGATCAGATGGAGAATATTTCCATCATTGCAGAAAGTTCTGTTAGACAGTGCTGGTCTAGATTAAAATTTAAGAAAGTTCAAATTTTCATATATTAGATTACATTAAAGCAGGAACCACCTTATACAAATTATGCACAGCCAGCTTTATTATCTTGGGTAGTATGAAAATAAATTTTAGTATGGTAACTGATTGCCTCAAGTTTTGAACTCGTGGAGTCCAAATTAATGAAGAAAACATCATCGATTATCTGTGTATCCATGATGTAGTTATGTTAACCGTATCTCCTTATAGTTTGCTAATAGCTGAAACAGAAAGCAAAGATAGTAATAGAAATGTCAACCCACCAATAGTAAGCTCTACAGTTTGAGCATCTAACACAAATCTCATGGGTAAAATGCAACAAGCCTGAGCTGTCTGAGACTTTTTTTTTTCTTGTGCTGTTATCTATCATACATTATTCACGTTACCAAAAAAACCAAACCCGAAACAGTTTGAATCCACTCAGCAGCTTCATGGGAGAAAGACCTGTTGATCTGCTTCCGTAAAGATTACAGCCAAGAAAACTCTATGGGGCAGTTCTACTCTGTCACATGGGGTCACTATGAGTCGCCATTGACTCTTCAGCACCCATCAACAACAGCCCTGTTTAGACTCCACTGCCATCCCTAATGTAGAATCCATGGCTCAGTACATCAGTTATTATGATATCTTTAAGTGTCTCTTGATTTGTTTGTTCTTCTGTTGTAATCTCATCTTTCTCTAATCCATTCTCTCTAAAGCTTGAATCTGAAACTACCAGTCTCCTATGTAAATCTTTCAGTGTTTCTTTTTTTTTATTGCCTCAAGGTAAAAAGACACTCTATAGGTGTTTCACTTAATTTACCTTATGCCTAAAATGCTCTCATTGTCACTGTTTCTTCATTTCCAGTCAGCTCTGATTCGCCCTTCAGTTCCCTAGCATCCTATGAGAACCAAAAAAACCAAACCCACTGCCTTTGAGTCGATTCTTACTCATAGTAACCCTACAAGACAGAGTAGAACTGCCCCATAGGGTTTCCAAGTCTATAAATCCTTACGGAAGCAGACTGCCACATCCTTCTCCCGCAAAGCGGCTGGTGGGTTCAAACTTCTGACTTTTCAGTTAGCAGCTGGGCGCTTAACCACTGTGCCACCAGGGCTCCTTCCCGTAAAGATCACAGCCTTGAAAACACTATGGGGTAGTTCTACTTCGTCCTATAGGGTCTCTATGAGTCAGAATCGACTGGATGGCAACGGGTTTTGGTTTTTTTGGGATCATGAATTCCAGAGGGCACAGAAGACTTTCAGTAGTTAGGGAGGGAAAGGAAATAGAAGAGAAGAGTGGATATGCAGAGCCTTGTAGGACTGGATGACAAGAGATGAGGGATGACCTGGGAGTCTGGGGCTTCTTGCACTGCTGAACATAAAATGGGATAAAGGACACAATAAGATTAATACCAGTGGACTCAAGAAAGATAGCAGTGGTGAGTTTGTGAGTGTTGTAGGAGCACAGTTCCAGGTGTGTGGGGCTCTCTCTTCATACATGTTGGAGGGAGTGTACTTACTCCTAGTAGTGGAGCTCCCCCTTGATCTTTGTTGATGGAACTGATGAAGCCAAAGCCAGCTCCAACCATTATGAACAATTTAAAAAATTCCTATGACCCTTACACACATGGATTTCTGATCCAAAGGCTTGCAATTTAAAAAAATTTCCCTGCTCTAGGGAAAAAGTAGGTTAATTTTTCATAGCAGAGCTTGGTTTTACTTACATCTGTGTTACAGGAGCGGTACCGTTTCCTTTCCCCAAGGCAATATTTTCCACCTCCTGAAGGTCTGAAAAAATATATTGTTTAACATGTGAATATCTCTATGCACACACAGAGTACATTTTTTTTAATAAAAACATACTAAAGTTTACTTTAAGAAAACATAAAAGTTGACATTTTATTAATTAATGAAATAATAACATGTTGGTGATTGTTAGGAATAATAATTACAGTTGTTCATCATAAAAATTAAGGTAATTTACTATGAGTAACTTTGGAAATCTCTTAACTGTCATGATTGACTGACTTAAAAAAATGTAATTAAATTGATGTATTTTTCTAATTATCTTAGTAACCAGGTGCTCAGTTCAACACAATGACTTAAAAAAAAAATCACTTACTTATAATGAAAAGCCATTTGAATTGTATTCAATGAAACCCTAATCTGATACTATATATTCACCAAATAGGAAATGGGAAGTCTGTCTTTTTTGTTGTTGTTGTTTCCTCCAGAATGGAAGCAAGTAGACACTAAATAACTCTCTGGAAATATCTTCCGTTCAAAGTAAATAATGCAGAAATTGATTTCTATCTCATTTCAAATATTATGTAAAGTTTTTAAAAAATTAAATCAAAAAATCAAATGGCTTTGCATTATACAAATACTTAGTATTAAAAAAAACCCTGCCAACGAGTCGATTCCGACTCATAGTGACCCTATAGGACAGAGTAGAACTGCCCCACAGGGTTTCCAAGGCTGTATTTGTGGAAGCAGACTGCCACATCTTTCTCCCATAGAGTGGCTGGTGAGTTCAAAATACCGACCTTTTGGTTAGCAGCCTAGTGCTTTAACCACTGCACCACTAGGGCTCTTTACTTACTATTACACAAATGTTTATTAGAAAGTAAGCAAAATGTCAAATACGTGATTTGCACAAATTATAAAGTATTTAACATTAGGGAAAGCCACATGCTATTATTTGGGCATATTATTTTTGAATTAAAAAAACCTAATTTCTTCTTTTAAAGAGGTCCAGATCATTCCCTTAGTATCTGGGTTTATTATTTATTACCATAAGGTTTTATACTTTTGATTATTAATTTACAGTAGCCCACAGTTGAACTTAGGCTATTTATTCCGCTCTTGTTTTAAAAAGTTCAAGCCTAAATTATCATTTTGGCTCACTGGTATCAATGGGATAATTAAAGTTCCATTTTCAATGCCCAGGAAGACTGACTCTTATCAAGGAAAGGAAATGGCCCATCTTGAACTAGCTTGAGAGAAATGGGTTAATCAGTCAAAAACAAGGTAGTGGGGCTGGCTGCAGTATTACTGATTTCAGGCTCCATTTCACATGAGTAGGTTAACAGTGAGCTCTGTTTAGCAAGAAGATAATAATCGATAGGAAGTGGAAAGAATGGAACACTGAACTAATATAAAGGGAAACAATTTCAAGCTATAAACGGTAGAAGAGAAGGAGAGACTATCTGTATTTGAAGTGAGGAACTAAAGAAAGGGGTCCTGAATTGAAATGAGAGGAAAAAAATAAAAATAAACTATCTTTTACACAAGGGTGGGGGAAAGCAGAAGTGATATCATAATATCCTTCTGCATCAAATACTAGCCTGGAAAGAAGGCCCTCAACTAAGCTCTAGTCAAAAATGTAAGCACTTGACATACAGCAGCTAAGGAGCAAATTAGTCTTAGGGAGGACAGGAAAGCATATCTAGAGGAATGGTCCACCTGTAATGAACATTGACTGGAGGAAGATGCAATACAGCTAGTAAAGAATACTGATGGGGCTGGCCTTGGGCCAGGGGGACTCTGGTTGGAGAAAAGAGTGGTGGGAGAGGAGCAGTATGACCTGCATAAAACAGTCATGGGGAGAAAAGTGGTGGCAGCTTCAGAAGATGATTAATGGGGGCATATGAATTTAAACTATTTTAACACATGGGCAGTATTCTTTTCGTTGTGATTTGTGATGCGAATCAAGGCATTTCAACCCTTGAAGTGCTCTCATTGGTCCTTTTAATACTAATGTAGCAGTAATAATTTTATGTGACATGTGAAAAGACCTTAGCTTTCCTGGGAATAATGGTAATGTAGCTAAGACCAGACCTGGATTCATCCATAATTCAGTAGTTTTCAGAGGAGGAAATCTATCTGATTATTACTAGATTAAAAATCTGGCTCTACCTGGGACAGATACACAATGCTTTTTTCTTTTCTTTTTAGTCACACAGTAAGGGGAAGGGAAGAAAAAGAAAGTCTGTCTAACAAAGCTCTTCCACTTTCCTGTGCCTATTTGCTTGTTCTGAAGACAAGCACTTGGCTCTCTAGTGAAACGTTTTTACAGATAACATGTGAAACCACAGCTTTGAATCATTTCCAACTGTGTCTTTTTGTTGGCTCCGGCTTACTTTAGCTACTTACGCTGGACTGTCACAGTGTCTTAGGGATGAGGAGACGCCTCCCCCGCAGGTCCTGCTGCACTCTCCCCACAGTGACCAGGGACCCCAGCCCCCATCTATGCTCTGGGGCCAAGTGCCAAAAGGAACACAATCTCCCTGATAACACCACTGCAAGATTTCACAGAAAACACAGAATTAGCTTTTAGGCAGATAGAGCTATCAGGATAGAAATACATAAAGGTCAGGCAATGACCAATTATAGGCATTAGCATTCTCCCAACAGATAACAGACTGATATTTTTTAGCTGTGTTTAGACATTGGTAAAGGTGCATGTGATTTGCAAATTATCTTTAGCTAGACCATGATTTATAAATCTCTAACATGTACCAGGAGTTTTAAAAGGCCTGACTTTGCTACTTTTTCATTGTTTTTCCTGTTCCAGAGTTTTAGTGTTTCTCATTATACAGGTAGCTACAGACCTCAAAGTCTTTTTTAGGTATTTAAGCATTTAACAAAATTTTTCTTTATATTCCACTATTATTAGACTTATGGAATGATAACACAATACGGAAAGTTCCCCAGTGAGGAATTTTTATGATGGTAATTGCTTTTTCTTAAAAAAAAAAAAAAAAAGGCTGGTTGAGACTACAATGGTAAAAGAATGTGTTGTGGCATTTCATCTACATGAGCTCTGCAGACATAATAAAAGTAATGCCAAGACACTAGGGACTGGGTACAAAAAAACCCTTATATACACTGACAAACCATGTGTATGGCCCCTGCATGAACATGTGTACTGGAATTTTGCTCAGCTTTACTCTGCAATAAACCACACATACTGCACATAAGTAGAAAGCCAGGAATAATTTGTCGAGACGCAGACATCGCATAATCAGCTCATAACTCTAGCATGATAAATCTTATTTGCAGAATATGGCAAGATGAAAGTCTTTTTTTTTTTTAAATCAAGCATTTGCAGGCTTTTGGTGGTGCCTTTTTCTGAATTACCAAACTTTGACAAATCTTATACTATGAAGTCATTTGTTTATATCAATAACAATGAGTAACATGGTTATTAGAGTTCAAAAAGTGTCAGCAATGTTAGCTTGTTAAATAAAAATTCAGTCTTATATTAAAATGTATAGAGATTATCATGTGATGCTTAAAATGCAATCAATTTATTATATTAATTCTATCACCAAGCTTTGTTGGTTCTACCTCCAAGATACATCTAGAATGTGTTCAATTTTCACCATCTCCACTGCTACCATCCTAGACCAAACTGGCCAAATGGAATAGCTTCTCACCTGGTCAGCCTGCATCCACTTTTTTCTACAGTCCATTCTCCCGAGAGCTTTCAGAGAGATCTTTTAAAAATATCTTACCACATCATGTCACTTTTTTGCTTATAAGACTGCAGTGGTTTCCTACTTCCCTCAACTCTGGTCAACAATGGCCTTTGTGATCTAACCTTCTTCAGCCTTATTCTCTCCCTTGCACAGATTACTTCAGACACACTGGCCTTTTTTCTTTTTTGAATATACTAAGCTTGTTCCCTCATTAGGGCATTTTTATTTGCTGATCCTTCTAGGAATGCTCTTTTTATAGTTTCTTATATAATGAGTCAGAATCAACTCAAAAGCAACAAATAAATCATTCAGTCTCAGGTCAAGTGTCATTCATCAAAGAAGTCTTCCCTTCACCACATTATTCTGAAGAAGTAAGAAGTAATAATGATTACATACTTCTGTTTCAGCTACATCATATCACTTAACACTACTTGTAATTAACCTGTTTATTTTTCTTTTCTTTCTTTTTTTAATTGTGATTTAGGTGAAAGTTTACAGAGCGGATTAGTTTCTCATTAAAGTTAATACACAAATTGTTTTGTAATATTGGTTGCCAACTCTGCAGTGTGTCAACACTCTCCCCTTGTCCACCCCTGTTTCCATTTGTCCCATTTTCCTGTCCCTTCCTGTCTTCTCATCTTTGCTTTTGGGCTGGTGTGCCCATTAGTCTCATATATATGATTGAACAATGAAGCATGTCCCTCACATGTATTACGGTAGGCCCTATAAAAACCCATTGCTGTCGAGTTGATTCCAACTCATAGCGACTAGGACAGAGTAGAACAGCCCCATAGGATTTCCAAGGAGCAACTGGTGGATTCGAACTGCCAACCTTTTTGGTTAGCAGCCAGAGAAACCCCAAGAGTATGGCCCTTGGACATACTTTTAACTCAGTACTGAAGTCACTCCTGTTTAGTCTTTGGCTGAAGGGTGAACCTCAGGAGTGAATTCAGTACTGAGTTAAAAGGGTGTCCAGGGGGCATACTCTTGGGGTTTCTCCAGTTTCTGTGAGACCAGCAAGCCTGATCTTTGTGTGTGTGTGTGTGAATTTGAACGTTGTTCTACATTTTTCTGCCACTCTGTCTGAGACCCTCTATTGTGATCCCTGTCAGAGAAGTTGGTGGTGGTAACTGGGTACCATCTAGTTGTTCTGGGCTCAGTATGGTGGAGGTTGTGGTAGTTGTGTCCATTAGTCCTTTGGATTAATCTTTCCCTTGTGTCTTTGGTCTTCTTCATTCTCCTTTGCTCCAGCAGGGATGGGACCAGTAGATGTATCTTAGATGGCTGCTCAAAGGCTTTTAAGACCCCAATTGCTACTCACCACAGTCAGATGTAGAACATTTTCTTTATAGACTATGTTATGCCAATTGAACTAGATGTCCTCCAAGACCATTAACCTGTTTATTTTTCAAATTATTTCTTTATTATTTGTTTCCCCTCATTATAATGCAAAAGCATTGAGATCAAGGACATTTTTGCACTGTTCAATACAATAGCCATTAACAACATGTGATTATTTAAATTTAAATTAATTGAAATTAAAAATTCAGTTCCTCAGACCCACTAGCCACATTTCAAGGCTCCACTACTAACTGAAAGATTGGAGGTTTTGAACACACCCAGAGGCACCTAGGAAGAAAGGCCTGACACTGAAAGGTCACATCTTGAAAACCCTATGGAGTACAGATCTAGTCTGCAACACATGGGGTCACCATGAGTTGGAATTGACTTGACATCAACTATTTTTTTTTGTTTGTTTTATAGCCACATGTGGCTAGTGGCTACTATGTTGGACACAGCAGATACAGAACATTTTCAACATCACAGAATATTCTGTTGGAAACAATGAATGCCTAGAATAGTGCCTGGTATGTAGTAGTAGTAAGTATGCAACAAAAATTAATTGAATGAAGGAATACATTAGTTAAGCTATAGGATGTGTGTCCTGTTTTGGTTACTGCATGACAGGAAGTAACTGGAGATACTGGAGGATGAAGGTCAATTTTGTCTTTCTTTCCCTGGAATTAGGATGTAGTTGGTGCTCAGTGAATGTTTTGGTAGTTTTAAAACATAAAGGAATTTTTAGGGGGGTGCTGAACAATTATCTTTTGTCCATTAGAAATTAGGCAAGAGGAAATCAAAATTTGGTTGGCTAATACAAAGAATATTCTGACCCTAATTCTAATAAATGTTCATATAGAATATTTAGAAACATAATGAGTTTTGGACAATGAAAATCATCAGGAAGAAAAATAAAAAATCAAGTGTCCAAAATGATGAAGCAGAGGTGGTTGGCTGATCAGTAATATAGTAAAAACTCTGGGAGCAGGTTGTTGATAATTTACACTGAAGACAGAGAAAGAATGTTCCAGCTGCCAGTCTTTGATTCATCTATTTGGTCTTGAAGATCATCATTTTTATAATGATCTTTTTTTTTTTAATACCACTGTCCTAGTGGCACAGAGGTTAAAGCACTCGACTGCTAACTGAAAGGTCGGCTGTTCAAACCCACCAGCTGCTCCATGGGAGAAACGATGGGCAATCTGCTTCCTTAAAGATTTATAGCCTTGGAAACCCCATGGGACTGTTCTACTCTGTCATATACGGCTGCTGCAAGTTGAAATCGACTTGATGGCAGTGGGTTTTGGTTTGGTTATCACTTACACAAAAGTCACAACATTGGGCCAAAGAAACTTCAGCTTTACATTTTTGTTACTACAAGTAGCTGCACTACAAGTAGGCATTATATGCCTGCACCTATTTTCCTATGTGAATAACAGAGCAATGTAATCCTGTCTAGCAATTAATGATTTCTTTTTCATTGATTGCAATTAATGACAACTGATGCTTTTAAAAATACCAAGGTGGGCAGTCTTAAATATTGCCTATTTTTCAAGTGAGAAACTTAGAATTATTGACTTCAAATAACATTAAAACTTGATTTTATATTTATTTTATATAATCAGAGTTTCATCTAAACCTCAAAGAAACTTCAGAATTCATGTGATCTAAGCACTTTGTCTTTTCAGATGAAGATATGGAACATGGAGGAGTTGACTTGCCCAAGGTTATGCACTGACAGAAAAGAAATTATCTGTCCAAAAATATACAAGAATCATTTGGGAAAAAAAAAAATCAACTGGAGGTATAGGATTATGTATTTGAAGATATTACAGACTGCTTTTATATACTTTACTAGACTGTTTTTATGACATAAAATACAAAATAACACTAGAGATAAAAAATATATATATTCAGATGCAAGTATATCCATATGTTATTTCAGACTTTGTTGCCTCTACCTATGATTTGCAGAAAAAATATTTCACTTTTTGCATTTTTTAGGGAACAAAGGATTTTGGCAGGAATACTGAAAGATGTAGGTTTCAAAGTATTTAATAACATTACTATACATGTTTCCTGAATGCTCACAAAATGTAGGACAGTGAGAAAAGTCACATTAATTCTCTTATTTTCCTTTTAAAACTTATTCTTAAGGTAAAAGATAAACACAATATTCAGGTTGTAAAATGTTGCTCAGTTCTCATCATTAATTAACATCTACAAGTGGTTAAACATTCAGCTGCTAACCAAAAGGTCAGCAGTTCAAATCCACCAAGCACTCCATGGAAACTCTATGGGGCAGTTCTACTCTGTTCTATAGGGTTGCTACGAGTCGGAATCGACTGGTCGGCAACAAATTTGGCTTTTTAGCAGTAGTATTTCATAAATGGTTTGCTAGAAAGGCCAGACTAGTATGACAATTTTAGAGATTACTTCTATGTACACATATCTTCAAAAGAGGTAAAAATCTATCA